TCTTATTTCTGAATTCTGTAGTAATTTGATGTGTCGCATGATGGTTTTGATACGTTTTCCGTTAAATCCAGCGTGAAGGCCCATATTCACCGGATCTTATTCCGGGCATATCTCCGGAACCGGTTCACCGATTCCAAAACCGTTCAATAGCGTTCAATGGGACCCCAAGACTTATCATTTGGCGCCGAGTTTGTCCAAATCGGTTGAGCGGTTGCTGAGAAACGTGAGCGCATTCATTTCGTTACATACACACACACACATACACACATACACACATACACACGTACACACACACACACACACACAGACATGTTCCGATCTCGTCGAGCTGAGTCGAATGGTATATGACACTCGGCCCTCCGTGCCTCGGATCGAAAGTCGGTTTTTCAAGTGATATCTATACCCTTCTTTGTAAGAAGGGTAATAACAAATAAATAAATAAATAAATTCATGAATTTAGCTTATAATTTCAACTTGGATGATTCATGATTTCGGGAATCTTAGCTGCGTTACGCAAAAATAGCTCATGATATCATGAATATTATTCATAATGTATTTTCATAACATGACAATACGATATGTTCATGAAATCATGTACACCCAACCGGGGGATGTAAGATTTATTTACAATTATGTGGGATTCATCATCAGAGAGGCCGGGTAAAGTAGGTGCATAAGAACGCCTATCAATGGTTGTTGGGTTCTGCCCTGACCGGCGATTTGCGACCTCTGTGCACCTGAACTCCGATTCATCTCCACGCGGTGCCCGGTGGGGTTGCTGGCGGTGATATTTGCCGTCAGTAATGCGAACAAGAACGGGGGATCATCGTTGTCACCAATGCACTATTGTCAATAAATCGGTACTGCCCGTGATGACGATGACAGAGCAAAAAGGTTATAGCCAACTCTAAGTAGCCTGTGATTATCGCTACCTGGGTATGCTAACCGGCTGGGTCTGGTTACGACTTGGCCGTCCTGAATGAACTTTTTCCACCTCCTCAAGGTGGTTCGTTTAAAAGGACGTTAATAAATGGAAGCATGGAAGCACAGACAAACAGACGTAACTCTTTGAAAAAGTTTTTCTTGAAAACAGTATCTCAAAATACAGGATTATCGAGGATAGTTAAAGTCCTCTGAGTAAAAGTATGGACGTCTGTCAAAAGTTGTTCCAATCGAACCTTTGTTCGTTTGGAACAACTTTTTTCAATAAATATGGACCAACAGGTCTGTGCCATAAAAAGGTAGAAGAAGAAAAAAACATTTGACAGTTTTGTGATAACAGTTGTCCATACTTTTACTATAGTGCTTTAGGAATAATACGCTTAACCAAACGCTAATTCACGGAAGTATTCCTCTGGAGAAAAATCGTAAGAACAGCGCTTTTACCTCCAAAAAAATTCTGTAAATTGGTTCCTTTGCAATTACAATAGCAGCATCATAGCAATTTACTAAATCTTCACTGAGAAGCTAATTTTTTTTAGCTAACCAAGATTTCAATGGATGCCTAGAATACTCATTAAAGCCACTCTATGCTGTCAAGGAAATGCTTGTCTACGTATATTTAAATCATTATACAGTCATAAAAGTGCTATTCTAAGCAATAAAAAAAAATCCACGAAGCAAGACCAATTCCCAAATTATCATATAGCTTATCCTCTCAGCTAATCAGGCTGCCAATAGCACCACAAGAACTACAAGTATTGAGCAAAAAATTATCCTCTTCTCTTAACTCTGGACACAGCTGTATCGAGCATACGCACTAAGCTACTCGAAGGTTAAATTCTGTCAGATGCAATTAGGTGTAACATCTATCACCCCGTAACGTGGGTGGAACACCTTTTCATGGTACGTTACGGGATGTAAGATCTACAATCGATTCCTAGTACTGACTACTTCAAACTGGGGGAACAGGATTTTTCAGTAATCAAAAGAACACTTCTTAGTCCTTGTTATTTTTATGCCTTGTTGATAGTGACAAGACTTGGCTTTGTCCACCGAGGATGATCTTGAAACAAGGAAACAATGAGTTAGTTAGTCTTCATCTATGTGATTCCTAATGTTCTATTTGTTGTTCCCTAGTTTGAAGTGGTTAAGACTAGGGTTCTGATGCATGGTCATTATCGGTGTCATTCTTTAATTTTGTTGCTAAGGAATCCAATTTTGACTGCTAAGAGACGTACGTACCTTTTTGGAGGTTACATTTAATAACAATGAATAACGTTGTTGAGCTGGGATCCTGAGGGTTGATAAAAATCCATTTCCGTAGACACAACGGATATGGATTTTTATCAACCCTCACAATCTCACTTCAACTCAGGAATGTACCAACACCCAGTGAGAGCTGAATTTAAATTAGACTCAAAATCATCAAAATACTACTTTATTTGAATAATTTATGCTCAATTTGCAAACATGTAACATCAAACATTGAGAAACCACAAAAACCGCAACTGTATTTAAAATTTGAAATAAACAACCATCGTCAAGCTACACCGAGCAATTAAGTTGTTTGAAACTAGCAAAGTCAACTGAGTATACTTATTAGTAAGTTTCTGTGGTTAAAAAATATTTCCTTGCATTTGAATTTAGTTCCCTGACTTCCCAGGTCCAAAAATGAATTCCCTGATATCCCCTGATTCTCCAAGTTTTTTTTTCAGATAGTCGACACCTTTCTATGCCATAGTGCAAGATGCAGTGTTCCATTGAAAGCAGTTATTTAATCATATCAATGGCTTCGAAATCAATTAATAGCTAATTATTAACAACTAAGTTGAAGCTGATAAAATTTCACTTATGAGCAGATAGCAAACTTATCCGTAAATAATTATGGAAGAAGGCTAGGGCAAAAAGGACAAAATGTTCACTTTTCCCATACTAGTTCCCATATAAACGTGAAGGTCCAGTGCCGCATGAGATTGCAACTAAATGAACTCAAATTTTGAGGGAACGACCAGGACCTGATTGAGAGTCGATTGAGAAGGGTGGAGCAAAATCGATATTTTGTACCACATTTATACATATAGTTAAATCACATAAGTGAATTTAGTTTCTTGCCTAAACACAATTGAGGAAGCATATTCCCTTTTGTCCACTCCCCCCTTGGCATTTATCGAAGTTTGTTTTTTTTGTTTTGTTTCCGTCGATCTTGTTTTCCGTGCTGAGCACGAATGCTACCGACACCAGGGAGACCCTACCATCTATCGACCCATCAACTCATGAACCGGGGACCAACGGTTAATTCTCGTTCTCTTCGGCCGATGCTATGCAGAGATAGCGAGAAAGCAAGAATTTCCGCCAAGCGGAGCTAGAAAAATATCGCGAAAACGTATTTTTTGAAGCCCGCTGTGGCGTGGTAGCTATCAAGTCATCTTCAGAGAGCCGAGCGCACCCGAATACCCGAAGTCTGCTCCGCTACTCTTGCTCTCGCTCAAGTCTGAATACACCTTTAACTTCCCTTGGCGTGATGATCAGAGATGTTATGCCTCAGAACATTCCGGCGGCGCCGACTGGTATTGTACCCAGGCCTGCTGGGGTGAGAGGTAATCACGCTCAACACTACACCACCGGCGCCGCTATTCATCGATGTTGATTTGATTTCAATCATTATAAAAAATAATAGATTATAGTAAACTCTCCACAACTCGATATCCACTAGTTTGACCACTGGATCACGAACCATAGGAAACATGCATTTCATGGCTACGCGAGTTTGTGCGATTATTATTCTATAACTCGGCCCTTCAAATATGTTGTAGAGCGTTCATTGTATTTAAGAAAATCAAACATCTCTACTCCTGATAGCGAAGTCAGCAAAGACAGCACATTCTATACTGGAGGTTTTGGGGGTTCGATTCCCAGACCGATTCTTCCACCGGGTTTGAATATGGTCTAGATATTCTTGGTCTTACAGTATCATTATGCTTGCTATTATACGAAAGCAAAACTGTACGTACAATCTTAAGAAGATCACTTAATTAACGATGAAGAATAATTAAAACCATCAGATTCTCATCAGAAGTTGAACAAATTGCTGACAGCTACTCAGAGAGACACGTGGTTCATCAGTTGAATCAGGTTTATAAATAATCAGAGTTGTTTTTTTTTTCGAAGCAAAATACCTACCAACACAAATTAAATCCTCCCAATTTGAACTAAGATACACCTGTATTTTTTTTATCACCGCCAAATTATCTGTTTACACCGTATTAAGCGTGTCAAAATAAACATGTCTGAAAATCACACTTGTATCTTCTTTTAGAGTTTGCACTTATCACCTCTTATCAACGTTTAATTTGTATTCCACTGTTTCAAAATTATCAGTAATCACATGGTTATATCACTCGAGTGTTCTACCCGCAAAAAAAAACTGCATCACCACAGCTAAATCAAGGCCGAATGAACGCGCAAACAATCGTCTATTGTGCTAGCAGACTTGTTCAATCATGTTCAAAATCCCAAATTATACCCCTGTCAATCTTCACTACTTGATCACCCGATTGCCATGGAATCTCTCTGGTATGGATGTATTCCACTTACTTTATAATACGCTCATCAGCTGGAAGAAAAATATTCCAAAACAGATTCCACTGGAGATAACTTTTGCACTTGCACTTTCATTTCGAGTGGCTCTTTTTCGCACGAGATTACTCAAGATGACGAGCGCGAAACACAGCTCAAACTGCAACAACTTCCAGCGCGTGTGCTGTTGTAAAAAAAAACTGCAAACAACCCCGCTCATCACACGCCGCGTTCACTGTCAATGCCAATGCCAATGTTCCGGTCGTTGGTCCAGTTACCTACAGCACACCACAGCAGCTAGCAGTTGTAGGTATGTAGTTACCGATGTTGCCTCTCTCATTGATTTGTTTGCTGTGTGAATCTTCTACCTCAATCGGGGCGATCGACGGAGAGAAGTTGAGCAGCAGCCCTCGAATACGACGAGAGCCCAGATAACAAACGAAAGGGAAAGCATTTCGCATCAATGAGACTCTTTTACTTACCCATGGCGTTGGAAGGGTTATTTCTTGAATGTCGCCTCTGAAGTCAACCAGAAAATTGCTTAGACTTGGCTTGCTGACCTGCTCAATGAGAAGATGAGCTTATCACTAACGAGTTTAGAATTGAACGGCCTGTGGGCAACACTGAACTGACTGCTGAATCGTACGCTAGTTCGTAATCGGCTTGAATTGTTGAATCCTGCACACACGCAGCAGCACACACGCGACACCAGATAAGACACAAATAAAAGCACCGAAGGAAATGACCTTGTCGTTATTTTTCCTATTGTTTAGCCCGTGGTTGCCTTCGATAGAATGGCTAGCCATCGGATTCGTCTTCGTGCTATTATCTTGGTGACTTTTTTGCAGCCAGGAAGACTTTCGTTATGTTATCAGTTTTAGCTCGGAGGTGACACGTTGGTTTTTTTTCGGTACCCGATTAATATCGCTACGCGAGCAAAGTCACTAAACACAATGAAAGCAAATGGGTATAAACATTTGCTTTTCCTATCATAATGATTATCTCATTTTGATTTCAATTGTCGCGACGTAATATGATACCAATTAAGCGTTCATTATGCTATCCAGAGTTTTTTGTTTAAATGAAAGCAACTTAAATTCAAGTTTTACTGTTAACGTCTTGTTGATCATTTAATTTAATTTTATCTGTTGTTGAGCTAACGATTATTGTTTATTTGTTTCAGCGGTGTAGTGATTACCTCTCACCCCACAAGCCCTGGGTTCTATCCCAGTTGGCGCCGCCAGGATGTTCTGAGGCATAACATCTCTGATATTTCGCAAGGGAAGTAAAGCGCGTTGGTCCGTTGATGGGTCGATAGGTAGGGTCCAGGTGTGGGAGCTGCTTCCCAGGTGTTAGCATTGGTGCACAGCACGGACAACAAATCGAGGAACAAAATTGTTTTGTTTATCACATTTAAAGAGCCACATGTGAAAAGGGCATACAAGCTTTTTGTAAACAAACATTTGTGGGCCCTTTTCTCGCCAACCGAGGGTCACCTACGCAAACCAACAATATCATCGGGAAGGGGAATGCTTCTCCTACCCGTTAATCTTGATGGTTTGCGTTGGTTATTGGTGGCGAGAAAAAGGCTCAATAAGGTTTGTTTACAAAAAGCTTGTATGCCCTTTTCACATGTTGTTCTTGATTTTAGGTTATTTATGGTCCAGGCTGAGATTTGAACTTAGGACGCTTACCATCTTCGCCAGGCCCGTATTCATTTTAATATTATAAATGCAAAATCAGTAATCAAATTGATTTAATTGAATGCAGGATTAGTTTTCCGTTTGATTCCTCAGTGCAAAATTTTGCTCGCATATTTGTTGTGTTCACCGGCAACGCAACCGGTTACTTTGATAGTTTTTTAAGTATGTAACCAAAATTTAAATGTTAATTTCACTGTATTTCCCCATCAAAACACTTCGCTGAGTGTATTCAAACGATTCCTTAGTCTTTCAGCTTCAGTTCAGCTTGATTACAATTTTACGACTGGGCAATCCGGTTATGCTAGATTTTTCTTTAAATGAAATATACGTACTAAAAAATACGACTTATTTCGAGTTGCCGATAATAGAATAGTTGGTTAACACGCAGCCCAAATTGAAAGGTTGCCGAAGAAAAATAAGCTGCTAACAATAGTCACACTCACCTGGGAAGTTTGGAGCGTTATAGAAACGCTTTCAAACAGTTTTGGACAATTTTGTCGATTGGAATGGATAGAGAAGTAAGCAGCAGATACAAATAAACACGTCATATGTGCACTTGACGCTGAGAAAATACTAATAGAAGTGCGGACGCTGCTTAGAATCACGAGAATACGTAAATTCCTCTATATGTATTCTAAATATTTTTTACAACAATAAATGGTTCTTAAATATTATTTTTTGAAACGAGTACTGAGGATCTTAGAGTCAATCCATTACTCGTATGTGTAACGGAAATCATTGCATTTGCATTACTTGTTTTAGTATTGTGACCGTACACCAGCTTTTTATTTTGGGGTTACTTTGATACTACTCGAGTAATGTAGCAAAACATGCGTAAATCTCAAACAATTTAGTCCAAAAAATATTAAACTTTGAATGACTATATAATCAGAAACATTGAATTTGTGATGGCTATATTGGAAATACATATAATAAGTGATTGTTTGAGTGATATAAAAGGCGAAAAATGTTGTTTTTTTAGATAGAGGAAATGGATGTAATGTCGGCCTAGTTGCACCTAATTTGAGCCCATACATAAATTTAGCAATCGACTAAATTTTCAATAGCCACCAAAAATATCCATTAGTACCGCCCCAATGACTCGTTCATCTAGATAAACAGCAGATTTTTAGCGATGGGCCCAATCTTAGATCCATAGGCCAACATTAGAGCCATTTCCCCTATTTGGAAAATATGTAAAACATACTATATAACTATAAGACCAGAAGGTCCCGAAGAATCGTGCTCAACTTTTTGGCTTAGCTCTGGTACTATCTTTGGTCCCAAGCTAATCGATGCACCCCTCGAAACATAGGAAAATCCACGAACCCCTCATTTTATCTGTCAAACTTTCATAGCGAATCAAAACAAACATAGTACAGTACAAGAATTTCGACTAGAATAGGATACGCTCATATCTTTCTTTTTTTTCTTTTATTTGACGTCGGTCTCTGTTCCGCAATCTAGTGCCAATCACCGACGGACATCGATTGCCATCCATTGACGGCAATCGAATGTGTAGGAAAGAAGCTTCCACACCTGCGTAGGATATCGCACCCATTCAAACATACATGGACCGGAACCAACGGCTTTACTTCCCTTCCGAAGGAAGACGTGACCAGAGATTTTTATGCCTCAGAAAAATCCCACCGACCTATGGGGTACGCTTATAGATTTACTTGGGACCAATAGGCTACTCAAGTTGTGGACCAATTTAAAATCGTTAGTTTCCACCGGTTGATATAACTCTATACGTTATCAATGGCAATACCCTAAGCTTCAAAATGGAACCAATGTTTCTAATTCGCAAATAATGCAGAGAGTAAATTAAATTATTATATTCTACTAGCAAAGTTACGCGCATTATCAAACATACCCCGTTTTACGGCAATCAAAAAAAGTTTCACCATATTAACAAATTTTGATTTCAATTTGATCTCAAACTTTGCTCGGGTAGACTGCCAGTGGTTTTGGGATATGCGACTTAAATCACGAGCACGTTAGTCGCACACTTGCGTTCGATGATATTCCTTCAATTTGGATGTGAGAATGAGATGATTTGTTATAAGTTTGGGTTTAATTGAATTAGAACGCAATTAAGTCCAATTTTCAAATGTTCTACTGGTACCTTCAATCAGAATAGAATGTTTTTGAATTTTATGTGCTTTTGGTTTGCATGTTAGAACTAATTTAATTGTTTGTTGTCTAGTAAGACCATTGCAAATATTTTTCAAAGTTTTCCTCATGATGGAGCACAACCCAAGGTTTCCAAATAAATGAAAAAAAAACTCCCAATATTGTTTTATGGCAGTAACGAACGAATGTTTTATGCAAAATGCACAAACTCTTCATTACTGTTCACACAGTAAGATTTTGTTTGTTACCGAGGAAACGCTGAGGCATTTGCTACTCTCTGGGTCGTATCCTGAAAACTTAGGCCTAACCTTATAATAATTCAAACTTCCTGTTCAGGGACAATCAAATTTAGCATAATGAATTCTACAAGAACTTGTAGCTTGTAAATCAATGTCTTTCAAATGGGGATTAAAAGATCAAGTCGTTGTAGTTTCATTAAGCTACCCACTCCAGGGATACTAAATTTGAAGACTTTTGGAATTCTGTGAATATATTTTCCTCCCGCTACTTAAACCAATTTACATATGTTGCTAAGCTCACTTAACTCTTATAAGATTTTAGAACATCTATGAACTTCTTCAATCATACCGGAAGACCGTCAACATTTTGTACCATTATTCATGAACATCTGGGTAGGTCCCTGAAATTAATAGGAATTTTCCTAAACTTCCATGAAGTTCAGATAGCTTAAGATCGTTTCAGAAAGTACAGAAAGAGTAAGATCTCTGCAAAACTGATATGAAGTTCCCTGAAGGTTCTCGAAAGTTATCTGAACTAGCCAAACAATTCCCAAGCATTTTGAAATTTACTGAGCTTCTGATCAGTATGACGAACTTCTACAAAGATAGACGAACTTTTTAGAAATACCCTGCACTTTTTTTAATGTTTTCTGAAGTTTCTCGAACTGCTACGAAGTTGGCTGCACTATTACAAAGTTCACTGTACTTTTACGATTTGTGTTGATTTTCTATCTTCCACGAAGTTTATTAATCTTGGATTTCCCTGAAGTAGTACCAACAATCAATACGAAACTAGCGATTTTTAATTGGCTCACTACTTGACAAGCCTATTGATCCCAAGCAAACGATTAACGTACCCCATTCTAGTCAAAATTCTAGTACTACACAATGTTTGTTTTGATTCGCTATGAACGTTTGACAGATAAAATGAGGGGTTAGTGGATTTCCTATGTTTCGAGGGGTAAATCGATTAGCTTGGGACCGAAGATAGTACCACAGCTGAGCCAAAAAATTGCGCACGTTTCTTCTGGACCTACTAGTCTTAGAGTTACCTTAGAGTTAACTCGGTCCCAAGCTAATCGATGCACCCCTCGAAACATTGGAAAATCCACGAACCCCTCATTTTATCTGTCAAACTTTCATAGCGTATCAAAACAAACATAGTACAGTACAAGAATTTCGACTAGAATGGGGTACGCTAATAGATGTACTTGGGACCAATAGGCTAGCCAAGTAGTGAGCCAATTTAAAATCGATAGTTTCATATTGATTGTTGGTAATACCGTGCCTTTACTGATTAGGCTATCGGATGGATCTTGTGACCATAAATTGAGATTGACTCAATTAACACTCCGAATACGATGCCTCCGAAAAACGTGTAACGGCAAGTTTGCAATGGCACAACTTAGCTATTCCTTAATGAATTTCAAAAATTGTGGTACCTTTAGAATTCCTAGGGTTTCTAGATGATTTAAATAGTTAAAAACTTTAAAATAGAGTCGTCTACTTTTTAAAAAGGCGTAAAGAGTTGTTACACGTTTTTTTGAAAGGTGTGTTTGTAGG